TTCAATCTATTTCTGTACTGTAACGGAATTTTAAATTATGTCATTATTTTCGAGAAAATTTAGTCCAAACATAAGGAATATTTTGTTGATGTTTGACCATCAAAATCTTAAAAATAACGAAGTTCTCTAAAAATGTGCTACAATACGGATATGGTATTAATCCTTTATCTTTAATTTCCTTCTTCATTTGTGTAAAAATGTCTAGCCACTTTTACATAACACGTTAAATGATAAACGCTTATTTTGCTACTTTTTCGAACTAGTGGAATGAACTCTTCTTAAGTAAAAGTGAAATATTACATATAGACCATATTTAAAAATGTGTATAAATGTAAAAACAGGTAGAGTGTTTAGGTACAGAAAATACCCTTGCCCTCGCCTAATTTGCCTTAGGATTGTGTCAGAAAGGTACCCAAATCTCGATGGTTCCCTTCCCGAAGTACTATTCGAGATAAAAATGTTGTCCTTGGCCGTTAAAACATCGCCGGCGTCAAGCTGTCTGGGCCTAGGTTTCTGCTGAATTTGTTAAAACGCTTTAGAAGTTATCGAGTGGTATTATGTTCCTTTTTGGTCAGAGGATGAGTAGGAACATCTGGCGGCGATCTGGGTTTTTATGACCGCTGCACGACCGAGCGCTAACAAAAAATGAGTAATCACTCCAAACAGCAACAATAAATAACGTCCATTTGTTATGGTTGCTTTTCGATGCTCCATTTAAACAGTGGCGCTCATAGGGGGGTAAAGGGGATCACCTTTTTCTAGCACAGGTACTTTTGGATGAAATAGAAACCAGAAAAAATTTCCCGTTAAAATAAAAATAATACTCTGATTTTTTCCTTAAAAAATACTGTTTTCTGTTTATCTCGTAGCAACTTATGCGTTCAATATGCTTTTTTCTTATTGAATGCCTCTGGATGATTTCTTAAAATGCATAATTTCGCAGGGATTAACAGAAATGAATTCAGCGCATCAGGATTAATGACAGTTCTGGTTTCTGGTAGGCAAGTTCATTTATCTGTATTTAGATTATCTTAATTTTGATTAATGACTTTCCGAATGGCGATTAGTTAACCCTTTAACCCTTTTGTTGGATTAGAACAGTACCGTATTTTATTTTAATTTATTTTTTCTAAATAGAGAACTTTTAGTGGCAGAATTTTGATTTTTATTAATTGACACATAAAAATTGATTCATTTTTTCCTAAATAAATATATGTTCTTGGTTTTCTTTCAAGACTTTTGTTTTCTACGATAGCAATCCAAGTCCGCACCCTCCTACGAACCATATTTTCCTATTTTCCAGTCGCTAAGGAAAATTGTGGTTAATAAACGTCAGGGAGAATGACCATTTCAAGATACGTTTAGAGAATTTTCTAGACTATTTTATAAATTAAAAGGGAATTGAAATTTCTATAAAACATAATAAATGTGTTTGTAGTGATACTTTCTCGATTCTCACGTACGTAGTCCAGGTTCTTTTTAAATTAAAAGTTGAAATAATAGCTTGGTATCATTGAGTTTTTCTTTTTATTTTTATAAAAATAATTTTCATCTACTCTGGTGTGAGAAAATAAAAAAATAATTATTATAAAAAGTTTAATTTGAATTCTTGCATTATTTTTTTGTCTCATTTTAGAATAATATTTTAGATTGAATTAGACAAAGCTCTTTTATTTTTCTTTTAGCTGCTATCAGTGCTCTCATTATTTTGACATTAATTGAGACCAAAAAATACTTACTTTTTTTAAAATCCGTCTCTGGTTCGAGCTGATCAGCAATGGATAAGTTAAGACCGTCCACAATTTGGACCGTGATATTGACATAAAGCTCGGGAAAGTAATCAGTCAGAGAAGTCCGTACTTTTTTCAGTCAGTTGACAGAATGGGGGTTAGAGGGGGCGACAAAAAGCGCTGGGTTGAACTTTTCAACCCCCTAAATCGGAGGGGCGCGAAGTGTGATAATGTTTTAGAATTGACACCACCACGGTTTCGGTTTCATTTACATTATGCGGATCGCAGATCTCATCTCGCTAATCCGATGACAAAATTAATTCGATATTGGCTGGCATTGTGTTTTATTTTCGTATTAGCGCCCTTTTGGCATTGTTGCGGCTTTAAGCCATCGATCCCAGTCAGGATTTTTGCATCACAACCAAATTACATCGGTACATGTAAGCTTTTGTCGTGTTAAACATGAATATTCGAGTGTTTAAATGTGTTTAAACTAGCAGGTTATTTTATGAAATATGAAACCCAACCAATGTAGAATGTATGGAAAGAGGGTTAATCACCTTGACTTTTTTGTAACCCTTTCTTGAAATATAACTCATCATACTGTCTCAGGGCTTTGAAAAAAGCCGGTATCTAAATAAATAAATAAATAATACGTTTATTGTTCCCCTAATATAATGCCTAATCTTGACATAACAAAAATAAAAAAATCATTGATTTAATTCTTACAATTAAGAATAAACATTTTATTTGTTAACGCCCTGTACAGTTTGCTGTAATTAACTTGTAGCTTTACGGTAGCCAAGTGGCTGGTTGAAGATTACTCATAAAAATCTTTTTATTTGGGTCACCATCATTAGCAGTTATCACGATGTTAGTGCCACTATAATTTAAGCTATCTATTTTACTAATACATATAAAGTGATTTAATATGTGGGCTGTGTTACTTCAATAAAGTCAATTGGTGAAAATTTTATTATAATAATAATACGTCATATTTAAATGGTTGATGTTCATAGTACGGATTATATTTAAAAAAAAAACTAATATTTCTTTGATTAAAAAGAATATATACAGAAAAATGTTGACAATTACTGTAATGTCTATGTTAAAGTCAAAAATTCAATTTTCTACCCAATTGACCGATGTGTGAGTGAAAATAATAAAAAAATATATAAGGGAATCCTATATTATCTGGTCGACCCTCTTTTATATATTATTTGTTCTCCAGTAAGCTGGTTTAAGGTTATTGGTCACGTCAACATGTTATTGGTTTGTGGGCATTACGGTGAAATTGACAGAGTTCTTTCAATTTAAAGTTAAAGGGGGAGGCATGGAGATCGAGATCAGGTGTAGACCTTTCAATGACCCTTGGACTACATAGAATCTAATAAAGTCGAAATTTTCAACGATATTTGTTACTTAAACCAGTGGCAGCTCGGGGGTTTCCTTCATTTATTTGTGTAATATTTTTTCCACTTTAAAAAAACAAATCTAATAAATTGGTTAGTACTTGGTACAGCTTTGGCATTGGGAACGGTTGCATTTTTTTATTATGATTTTATATTACTATCGCTCGTGCTTTATTACATTTTTATGTTTAAAGATCCATTATGCTTATGAATATCTATCCATATACAATCTTTTTCTCATAAAAAGTCATTAACACCACGACATTAATTGCAATTTATTACGGGATTATTATGATGCCAGATGTGCTGATTTTGTAGTAAAGCGTAGTAAAGTAATTGTTTCGTAATACAGATGATAATTGCAATAAACCCGATAATACTCAGCTTTTTTTATATGGCGTAAATGTCAAATGATTTATTTATTTTTTTTAAGTCTGCGCCAAACGTTACGTTTGAATTATAATATGACATTTAAATAATTATAGTAAAAATGTATCTCATTCTTTTGTAGTAAAATTCAATAATAACTAATGTGCTAGGTTAATAAAAAAAAGCTTTGATCATTTTACTCATTCTATTGAAAATATTTCCAGAAATATATTTTTAATGGTAGAAACCTATTTCAATTTTATTTATATTTATACATATATTTTAATTAAAGAACAGATTGCATTTAACAGTTATTTGAACAAACCATGAAACAACATCGTTTATTTGGCGTATATGTTTTATATATGTTTGTCCTTTTTTGTGACCATTTTTTAATAATATCTAGACCTGTGACAGGTCTTTACTAGGTAGGGTTAGTCTTATTTAAATTGTTAAAAGAATGATGATATACAGTGATCTTTATTTGTATATATTTATCACAAACATTGGTTTACATATTTAATCACGCGATAACGAGGTGTCTTATTTTTTATCGAAGATGTTGCTGGATGACGTGATGACAGTTAAAATACCTAAAAGGTAAACAAAATAAAAAAAAATATCGTTTATCTCCAAGCAGGCTAGAGACACATAAATTAGAAGGGGCACGTTTCACTAACAAAATAATTCTTGGAAAAAGGGTCTGTTTTGTTTCATTCACCCCGAATTCTTCCAAGGGTCGTCAACACCTTCGTATAATTGTTTGCACATTGGATTGATTATTTTCTATAACACATCTAACCATACCAAATGAAATTTGATTATTGTCTTGGGATGTTGTTTTTGACGAATAAGAATGAAAGTCAAAGAGCTACAGGTTTAAGAGAAAAAAAAAGATTATGTAATAGGCTGTTTGATAATGAATGCGAGCAGTGCTTAAAGTTGCTAAAAGCAAAAAGTGTAAAAAGTACTTGTAAATGGCACACCTGATGTTTATCGCCAAAGGTACTACTATTCAAATTCGCCGCGAGGTTCACTTTAAGTGAAACTAAAAAGAAACGGTTCAATTATCTTGATCATAGATTCACATAGTTGGCACGCAACTTTCAAGACCATCAGGTGAACAGCTACAATTTTAACACTACAGATGATATTTAGTTCTTTCTATGTATTTAATTAAAATACATGTTTATAATATAGCCAGATATATAGAATTAGTTAAATTGTACAATTTAGTTTTACAATTTACAAAAGTTTGCTTGTCTTTTTCTCTGTCGTTATATTTTGTATTTAGTATCCCAAAAATATTTAACAGGGCTAAAATTAGTTATTTTTTGTATTAAACCGTTGACTTTCTGATTGAAACTGTATTACGTTATTATATTGAGATTAGTATTTAATTATATGTTATTACATCAAATGGTTTAGGTGTTGTTCTTTAAAAAGAGGTTATAGGGGGAAAATAAAACTACAGTGATTTCTTTCGGCATGTTTACATATATTCCAAATCAACTATATAAAAGTGAAAAAAGTACATGGTGAAAGACGTTGGTAAGAGATGTGTATGTATGGCATAAATCCATAGCTGCACAAATAATGTTACACCACCTGCAGCAAAAATAAACTAAAACGACTAAAAAATCGTATAGTATTTCTTCCACACATCACAAAAATATAATATATAGATATATGTATTAAACATGTATAAAACTTATGACATTTATTATATCGGAAATAATATAAGCTATTTTGAAAAAAAATCTGAACTGGTTATATAGACCACGTTGGGTTATTATCACGGGCCCAAATGATCAATGTTGGTCCAAGTCAGGTAAACAACATTTGTTTTTTCGACGGGTCTTAAAGACACGTGCTAGAGAACCACGTGCATTTAAGATATGAACAAGGTAGACAAGAAAAATATATAGGCAGCCGGACAAGCTTGGCAAGTTTTTCATCGAATGGTCAGCTTCGTCCGGCAGCTGTACAAGTTTCAATTAGCACAGAGTATCTATAGTAGCAACGGAAATCATATGGCAATCGGCAAAATACATCTATATCTATAGCGATGATAACAAAATAAGTAAACAATAACACTACTACATAAACTTAGAAATAATTAGAGAACCTAGCCAACGCTATGTAAAAACAACGACTATACTGACTAGGAGTATAAACTACAAAATTAACATTTTGTCAAAATGTATTCAGAGATCAATGGAACCAGGATTTTATGTAAAAGGCCCAAAAAATTGGGAAGTCTCTTTTACACGGTGTATTCGCCTGTTTAAGGCTTAAATCACAGAGGCGCTTTGAAGAGCTAATTCTAGCGTATAGCTTCCAGCGGGGAGCTATATATAAAAGAACTTAGAACTAAACCTTAATCTTACATAAATGCTTTATTTATTTAAAAATATCCGCATTCAATATACAACTTTATATATCTTACATCGTAAAAAAGTAGAAAGCTATATGCATGCATGGCTGAGGCTGTGCCAGCGAGTTTAATTCAAATTGTCTTGGCCTGGCCTCACAATATTTACAAGTTAACGGGATAATTTACAAACAGAGCACGTCCCTTTAACTTTTAAAATACAGTTAAATTTTATATATCAATATCAAACTAGATTAGAATATTTATTTCTTTTTACTTTATTTATTTATCAGGTATCAACATATTAAATTCTTTTAGAAAGTACGATAAAATTTTCATAAAATATTGGTGCTCTGCTTTAAATTATCTCGTAGGTGCGAGCTGGTAATTTCAGCTCAATGACAGCACCTCTATTCTACCTACGGAGATCATTTGAAAACCTTTTAGCGGCAAAGCATCCCTTGCCGCACCATTTTATACACACAGTAGATAGTCAGACTCATTGGTAGCAAAAGTTAACCAATCGATCTTTGAGCAATTGTTTCTCGACACAGATCGCATTCATAAAACTCGTCAAATCAAAAAAGTGAGAAAATTTCGGATTATCTGAATTTGAAGTAGATGTTACTGTTATATTTATCAAATAAAACTATAGCCGTTTGGCACTTCCATGTCTTTCTTTGGCTCTGCTGAATCTAACCATTTGGAAACAAAAATGAAATCGTTATATACAAATAATTACAAGCTTCAAAAAAACGAGATTTTTTTCAAAAATTATATACAAATTGACTTTTTCCTTACATTATCAAGTTAATTAATTATAACTAAATCGAAAATTCAAACGAAATCAGTCAAAAAAACTTGAAAAATGGCTCCATGGGAGCCAATAATTTCGAATCTCGTTTCGCGAAGGCAAACTGAAATTTCCACTTAATTACAAATATAAAAATTCCTGAGTGTAGACCTGCCTTTATATACGGCCTGGGCCTAAATCAATGAGATCAAACGCTTTGATTTATTTTTCTTTCTTTGGAACCAACACAGTAATCTTACTATGCCAATCGGTAAAGTAAAGTTTCCAAAAAGTAATGAATAACCTTGATTGTCTTCCTAATATATTTCAATTAATAATAACATTTAGTTTAAACTAAAATAATTACGAACAAATTTAATAGAGAACTATTTTAATAGCACGCACAGTACTTTACCGACAAGCTTATAATATTGACAAATGACCTGCGTACCACATCATAATCCATCTTCAAACAATTTCCAAGAAATATAAAATCTAATTATTTAGACATAGATAACAACGTGTGCGGTTAAAGTTACCACACCTAATCACAAGATTATTCTTATTTACTTGGAAAATATTTACTTTATATAAACCCTTAAATTTAACCTAACACTCAGTATATTTATATATAGAATATTATATAAATGAAATAATAAAGAACACACCGAAAGTATAATGAAAAAAAAAACAACATAAAGCAAAAAAAACATAATATATATGCGAATTCTTAACTATGATTTTAATCACTTATGCTTTGGGTGAATTGTAAATGGCTCCTCAAAATGTTTTTGAGCGAGATTTACCGACCACAAAATATGTGCCATCCGACAAAACAGATCATTGCAGTCATGAATGAGCAGGAGGATACAGTTGCTGGCATTATTTTTGACAGCAATCCGTCGGACGAACCGCCTTCATCATCTCCGTCGTCATCACAATTAACCTGAAACAACATAATAGAATATCAATCATTTATTTATTTTATATCCTAACAATTATACTCCTATATTAAAAAATACGTTCTTAGTATATCAAAAGTATTTTTAAGTTCGCTATTATGAAATGCGTATCATAAATTTACAAATTATGATTTTATTTGTATATAGAGGGTGAGTCTTAACTAAGTGCAAATATTTTTAGGGGTAGTATATTTTGACACGAGAAACACGTCTTTAGACATTTTTAGGTAAAAACCATAATATCTTCATAATATGGCAACATAGGGTAATAGATTAAATTTACAAGAAAGAATATCGAGAAAAGATCCAGTTCAGTTCCAGTTTTCAAAATCTTTTTTTTTTAAATTTTCAAATCAAAATATATCGGTTATTTTGGATTTATTTGAAAAACGGTAAAGAGAAAATAGGTTTCTTTTATCTACCAGCCCTGAAAATATTTGCGCTTATTTAAGACTCACCCTGTATATATACATACATCCCTATGAATTTATGTCTTTTCTTTATCTGGGGACTGGGGAAAAATGTTGCGTAAGACGCATTGATGATATGACACCCCCAGACAAATATTTACATGTAATATAACTATGTACATATTTTATATACATATTACGATATGCGTGTTGTGAACTGTAATATAGGTACTATTATAGTATATATATTTAAGATGTATATATTTTTTAGAGTCAGTATATTACAGCTTATTCGAAATAGTTAAGCAAAAAACAAAAATAAGTATGGTGTAATACTATATAACTAAATTAAAATGTTCTAGTAATAATTTTCCATTTTATCTTCATTAGCTATTTTTAAACTATTGTATTCTCTTGCAGGTGTTTACAATTATCTTAAAATTCTGCTCGTAAAAAACGCATATCTATAAATCTTTTTGTCTAATTGTGAAGAAAAAAAAACAATCTTGTACGCATTTTGTTTTATTAGATGTCCAAGAATAATTAAGCTGTGTTAAACATGTCTGAATTGAATTCGAAATATCGTTAGATAACATCGTTCTTACAACAAAGAAAACATCATGAACGTGTAATATAAACAATGGAATAAATATAATTACATTATAATTATCTGTAAAACGGTAGTCAAGGTTAAAAATGCATATTGTAAGAGATTGTCCTTTATAGTAATAAATACTACGACGCAGTAGGATAAGAACTAAACAGTATTTCGCAATATCTATCTCGAGAAGAATATGTATATATACATGCATATATGAGCTGGCGTTGTCAAGTCGTCATTTCTTTGTTAAATAAACATTTTTAATAGAAACCCGGCAACGGCGTCGATTGAAAGACAATGCACACGAAGTGAATGCCAAATTATCCTAAGAGTTATGAGCTCGGCGTATGCTTGGTTGCATACCTAACGCGGCGTATAAAACGCGCTCTTTACGTGCTCATTTCGTTTCAATCGAGCCAGTGATATATTTAAATTATTTAGATTCTTTACTACCAGTAATTGCGCGAACAGATGGCGAATTCTCCTTCAATTAGCTTTGTGTTTCTAGCACGTACAGTGCAATTAACTCTTATAATTTCTGCATATAATTACGTCGTTTGGCTCTAATAAATATAGCGATTTTTTATATCGTTCCGACGGGTGTTTGAAGTTTAGTTCTTTAATACAAAGATTTTCGCGCCCTGAAAATTAAATTTTCTTGTTCGCTTTTCGAAATGTCAACGCTTTAATTAGTCACTTTGATTTTCGCGTACTAAATATGCAAATAATATCCGAAATATTTTAATTATACATAATTATCTTTGAAGAAAAGTCTTAAAACTTAAAGTAATTTCAGCCGTTAAATGTGCGAGCGTAATTAATTTAATTGCATTTAAAATCCGCATGCAACAAATTCTAAATTACAACTTACAAGGAAAATCGTGTATGTAGGACATACAACAGGTTTCATTTCGCGTTTTAAGGTAAAAAATCTGCATTGGAGGCCTGTTAAAATTTTATCTCCTAATGCTTTCGAACAAACGAAAATATCTTTTTGGTGGCCAAGTAAAAAATATCACCATAAGAATATTTTGTAGAATAATAAAAGGGTGGGCGTCGCAAAACAAGCTAACAAATTCACACCCACTCGAAAAAACATGCAAATCGCCGAAGAGACTAACCTTATTCCAATCTTGAGAGAGGTCGGTGGTTGTGGTTTTTGTAGTTTTGTCGCAATTCGAAGATTCGGAATTGGTTCGTCTTCGTCTTGGAGATCGTACGGGCATGGCAGTCAAAGCGGAGGCAGCCTGGGTCTCGTTGTGAGACGAGGCCAACCATGACAAATTTGAGATGAGATCTGGTATCGCGTTCGTAGTTTGTGCGGGCGATGCTGCTGTTTCGGAGCTCTCGCTTCTTTGTCTGTTTATCGACGAACCTCGCACTGAAAACAATATTCGTTTTCATATCAAATATTCCTCAACTTTTTTTATCTCTTTTTTATATATATCCTCATCTTTTTATTTTTCTAAATTTGTTCTTTTTAATTTTTTTTTCACAACACATTAATAATACTTCGTTAAATTCATACCTGAATGAATTTCTTAAAAATATTGTCAAAATTTTTTTCTCACAATTATTTTTTTTATATTTTCTAACAAATTATATAAACACATAGACCATGCTTCTTGAGGTACTTAAAAATCATAATCTCTGTTTATTTCTTATTTTTCAAAAATTTATTTTTGTTAAATTATATTTTATTTAAATTTTTAACACAAAAATATGTTTTAAAAACTCTTTATCCATGTTTTATAAAGCTTTTAATTTAAAGAATTCTTTTAAAATAATATTAAGATTATTATTAACTTAAATAATCTAATTAAAATTTCTTTAAAAAGATAAAAAGAGAATTTTAAGAAAATTCAAGCGGTTATAGAAGGCAACAATTTTCACACAAAAGAGAGTATATGTATAGGAGATCGGGATTTAATAAGAACATATTTTTAGAAAGTATATCTGCAAAAATATCTTATACGTTACTAACCCCAACCGAGACACAGCTCAAGGTTAAATTTAAAATCACGAATGGAACAGCTTTTATCAGGTCTTTTTAATTTAAAAGGAAAAATGTTACAATCTGGTGATAAAATGTCACTTTATTTACATTTAATTGGGTGTTTAATTGCCAAGAAATTATATTAATATTTATTAGCATAAGTTTCTTACCCAAATTCATTTAATTTAATTTTTACAAAATGAATTTAATTTATTTTTCTTTCTAATATTTTAACCTTAATTATAGAAAATGGTCCTTTAATTTTTTTTATATAATCGAAGATAATTTTTGGGAATATTTTGTATTAATTAATTTTCGAAAATGAAACTGTCGACAAGTCGGCACTTGTCGAAGAAGAACAAAAATAACTTCGATAACACTTTGGAACGGTGGAAGAGATTATGTGCTGTTCACAAAAAGTTATTGACCTTGAAGGCGCGGGATTAGGCTCTTGCCGTTGGGCGCCAAATGTTCGGAACTGAATTTCTGGCCTGCTATCGCTGTGTATAAAAGTCAACGATTTTTTAGCCTTGAAGCTCCTTCAAAACGCACTGCACCTTTCGCTGGTTGCATCATTTTTTTCGCGTCCAAAATAACTCCCCCGAAGAGCAACAGGTCCGGCACTAATTTTTCCCGCCAATTACTATCTAGCACTTACCTCTGAGAGGAGCTGTGGTCGTCAACGTTGCCACAGCCGCAGAACCATTAGATTGAGCCTGTTGAGATCTGAGCCTATGTTTCCTCGCCGCAATCTGAAGCTTGGTCAGAAGCGCCTGAAGCTGGATGAGGAGGACCTCAACCTCGTTTTGATCGTCTGGCATGGTGAATGGCACTGCCATGGTCGCGAACTGAATCACTTAAAAATAAAAAAAAATCACTCGCAATCACAAGAGAGTTCGAACTCGCGATGGTCACGCGTCTTGAGCGCCTTGGAGCGTGGCACGTCCGTTCGGAGCGGGATCTGAACGAGGTTTGATCGTGGCTTGTGCCGAGCAACCGAGGCGAGCCGCAGCGTTTGTGACTCTCGCAGGTTTACCTAGCGTTCACCCCGCGTCACTCTATCGCACGATATGCGCTTTTCGGTAGCGATGCATAAGGGTGAAGCGTGTTTTTGGCGCGAGCGCCAATGGGAACGCTCCGGGGGCGTGTCCACCAAAAACCCGGCAAAATATTGGCCAAATATATTTAGATATACTATACCTTTGTTGTTAGTTAACAGCTAAGATAGATATTTTACTGGGCCCCGGGTCGAGAACTTGAACTGGAGTATCACATTTTCGTTTTTTTTTCACTTACTGAATGTAGTTTTTGTTGCTGGAAAGTTACCACTTTTTTATTATTTTGATACCTACCTACCTTTATTTCAAAAGAGATTTTGTAATTTTTTAGAAATTACATCTTTACAAAAAATATCATTTCAATACACTGCTCATTTTTCAGAATTTTTTTTTATTTTTACTGATTTTCAAAAAAAAATATTTTTTGTGTGATATTTTTTTATTTACGAAAATATTTCCAAAGACATTCCTAGATTAATATTGTACCAAGTATATTTTTCCAAAAATATTTTTTTTATATATTTTATATTAAAAAAATATTATTTTTTTTAAACTTTGAATTTCAAAGATTTTTCAGAATATTTATATTTTTTTATAATAAGCCATTTATAATAATTTTAGTAATTAAAAAAAAAATATTATTTATCGTAGTGATTTTTTTTTGTTATTACATTTCCAAACATATAGGTACTAGCTTTATTTTAAAAACTTTTTTTCCACTTACCGAATGTAGTTTTTGTTGCTTGAAAGCTACCACTTTTTTATTATTTCGATACCTTTATTTCAAAAGAGATTTCGTATTTTTTAGAATTTACATATTTACTATTATTTACAAAAAATATCTTTTCAATACACTGCTCACTGCTCATTTTTCAGAAAAAAACATTATTTTTTTATTTTTACTGATTTTCAGAAAAAAAAAATTTGTGTGATTTTGTTTATTTAAGAAAATATTTCCAAAGATATTCCTAGGTTAATATTGTACCAAGTATATTTTTCCAAAAATATTTTTTTATACATATATTTTATATTAAAAAATAGAAGTTATTTATAATTAAAAAAATATATTTTTTTTTGGTGAAAATTAAAAACATACTTTTTTTCGTTAAAAAAAGATTATGTTTAATTTTTTTAAATAAAACATATTTAGATTTTTTTGTATTTTTTAGTGTAAGCAGGTAGTGTAAAAAATCAAAATAAAATTATTTTAAGAAATAAAAAAAAAACAGAAAATACTTTAATTTTCGAAAACTCTATTTTATTTTTCTAGAAGTAGGTATAATATTCTTCCTTCTGCGTTACTTGTTGAAGAATATATTATTATTTAGATACAAAAATGAAAGACTGGGTTAAAAAATTAAAAAACTATTTGAAGTATACCTACCTATATAATTTTAGAATAATTGTGCATATGTATTTGTTTTTAAAGAAATATTTATTTATTATTTTTTCATCGTATTTTATTAATAATAGTTATGAGATACTATTTTTTAATATTTAAAGCCTCTATAAAATTCCATATTATTAAATATTCTGTTTTCAATGACCTATTTTTTAGATATACGCCATTGAGATAAACCTATTTTTATTATTTTATCATTTAAAAAAATATTTTTTTTTGATGAAAATTATAAACATATTTTTTTTTAATTAAAAAAGCTTACGTTTAATTTTTTTAAATAAAATATATTTAGATTTTTTTTTGTATTTTTTGGTAATACAATTTTAGTCGTAAGTAGTAAGTGTAAGTAGTGTAAAATGTAAATAAAATTATTTTAAGAAATAAAAAAAAACAGAAAATACTTTAATTTTGGAAAACTCTTATTTTGTTTTTCTAGAAGTAGGTATATTTTTCCTTCTGCCTTACTTGTTGAAGAATATATTATTTTTTAGATACAAATGAAAGGAATACAAAAAAAAATATTTTTAGTATACCTACCTACATAATTTTAGAATAATTATTGTGCATATTTGTTTTTAAAGAAATATTTTTATTTTTCCATTGTACTTTATTAATAACAGTTATGAGATATTATTTTATTCCATATTATTAAATATTCTAATGTTTTCAATGACCTATTTTTTAGATTTATTTTTATTTTAAACACTTTAAAATGAAAAAACGTTTTTTTAATTCAAATTATATCATAAACCCAGTTTTTTTGAAAATGTGTCACAGCCTCTCTGTATTTGTGCCAATCGCTGAGACTTAATCATATAGCCAAGACATTCACCTAAAGATGTTATTCTTAGCTTCTATTTATATTTGACTGTGTATACACCTTACGCGATATTTCATAAAAAGTCAAATGGCTCACGATGCACTAATATTTGTTTAAATTAAATCCAAATATTAACACGCAATAGTTTTTTAACTGTTGTGGTGTGGGTGTTGTTTAGAAAATTTGATAACGGATTATCTCTCACTCAGTGGTTTTGGTTCTATTTTAACTTAATTCTCGTTTAATCACCGCATATTTGTTTATTTCACTTTACTATCCACACACTAGTAAATACGTTTCACATATCGTTGTTATTGTGACGCACAAATAAATTATTTTAATGTAAGATAAGAATTTTGAATCACACTATTATCGATTGTGATAGAATTAATATCTATAACTTGATAAATTTTAAAAAAAAGTTTAAAAAAATATTTTTGTTTAAATTTTTATGATATTAAAAATTAACTTTTAATTTACAAGTGCTCAATTTGATTACCTTCACTCTTCATCAGATATAATCTTAATATTCAGTAATAGGGTTAACTGGTGTAAAAATGAGATATGGTGTAAAAAATGCCATATTTAGGGGTTATAAATGAGACAATCAAATAAAACTAATGAAATCTTATCTTCAGTTATTTTTCTTCTTACGAACATTTAACAATAATTTTTAAAAGATCATCCCCATAGTTTGTTGAATCTTTAAAAAAATAATGAGTCAAAGGTATGACTAAATATGAGGAAACTTAATAGTTATATATTTTTAAATTTTAGTTACAACTCAAAATTAACAAAAAAAAATGCAAAAAAACAACAATTAAACAGAAAAATATACATTTCTCTGCTTAATTGCCATCGTTCTTGTCTCATAATTGACTGCATTTAATATATGTAAATGAAAGAAGGACCTTTAAACGTGTAGGACCTTTTAGTATATTTTATCTTTTGCAATTTTAGTTACAACTCAAAATTAACAAAAAAATGTAAAAAAACAGACAATTAATTTCTCTGTTTAAATGCCATCGTTCTAGTCTGATATTTACTCCATTTAATATAAATGAATGCAGGGCCTTTAAAGGTGCCTTTTGTGACTTTCTTATATTTAATCCAGTATTTCTTATTTTTAGACTTTTAATGGTAAATATTATGAAACACTCCTTTCTGCAAGCAGCCGTTTTTAGGGGTACTTTTAGTATATTTTATCTTTTGAAAATTTTTGTTGCCACCAAATACCTTTTTTTTAAATGGTGGTATCTAAGAAAGAAAAACTAAAAGTATTGAAAAATGTGTAATTTTTACACCACCTTTTTTTTTATCACACTACTTTTATTTGTAAGACATTGAATTAATCGTAAAACAACTAATTCAGCAAGGTAAAGTGAATCACAAAACTCGTCTTGTTACGCCAAAGGCTCGAACTGTGCGTTATAAAAATAACGAGCTCTATACTCAAACTGGGTGAGCGAACCCATGAAAAAATAAACCAAAAGAAAGCACACAAAATGGTCACATAAGTGTTACGAAACTTCTTCCTGATACTGATTCATTGGAAGTGAATCATCAAGGTACAAACACCAAGTGTTACGCTGGTATTTGTATCTCTGTTGCTCTCGTGGGTGGCTATACTCTAGGGTGAATGATTTACCTATGCTTTGTGTTTGTTCCAACAATTGGTAGTGACTTTGACATTCACCCGCTATTAGTAATAGGGCATCTTTATGAAATGCATGACTCTGCACACAAAAAAAACTACAAAATATAGATAAAAATATGTCTTCTATATTAAGAATTTAGACGGAATATAAAAAAGTCGTATAATAAATTATTAACTTTACGAGAAAAATAATATTATGCTAAATAAATTTAGTTTCACATTAAACAGACTATATGCATATCTATATCAGTCATTGGCACCAGCTTGTCTGGCTTGATGTAGGTTTTATTGAAACCGACTATTAATATAAAGATTGCATGTATGCTTGTTTGTTACATAATTCAAATAAAACAGCACTTTTATACCATTGTTGACTTTCAGTATTCTAGAAAAAGTATAAGTTTGCTTTAAATATTAGCTGTTTATGGATATTTAAAATATCAGCGTAAGCAAAGGGTAAGGGCATAAGTAAAGCGATGTAAAGAACATTTATTTATATATTTCTAAGATTAAAGTTGAATAAAAATTATAAAAACTGCAAAATATGTGGAAAATTGTATGTACTTGCTTCTGATCTATTTTTGATGAGGGTTAATATCTGTCCTGAGATTAATCCAATTAAAACCAAAAATTACTAATATATTGTATTATTCTAAACTTTTTAAATAGTTATAGGTAATAATAAATTATCTTGAAAATAACCCTACCATGGTTAAAATTTGTATACATCTAGTACCCTACTCGTAAGGGCGAAAATGACTACCATATATTTTCCTATTTTGTACCCTTTTATTAGCAAATAACAGTAGTTTTTTCAAAATCGGTAACTTGATCAAAATCGCCAATTTTTATGACCCTGTGTATGGAAAAAGTTGATTAACTCTCTATTAAGTTTTAATGATCTGCTGAATGAAAATGCGCGTCCAGTGCAAAGGTAAAGTGTTTTGGTGTATTGTGGTGAATTAATGTTTTGTTTTGTTCTAACACCAAAGGTTTCAACACTCAACTGTAATATTTTAAGTTGTTTCAACCAATATTTATGATTGTATTTGTTGAAGTGTTGAAGTTTAGTATAGATATTATTTTAAGCCCCTATGATAGAGTA